CAGTAGCCATTGATACAAGTGCAACAAGTACCTCATGGAACTTTCTTGAAATTGTTTCTGCTGAATGACCAAATGTATGCATTGCATTCCGTTGTGTTATATTAGTCTTCAACAAATTAATAGACTATTAATAGTAAGATCTGACTTTTTTATTGGTGGTAAAACTTAAACTAACTAATAAAAATGAATTTATACTACCTAATAGTAAGATATGCTTATTATTTCTTTTATTTTAGTAAGAAATAAGCAAAAAGTCAAATAAAAAAATAAATCACCTTTTTTTATCATAGAAAAAAAAAATGTGTTAAGTCTCAAAAAGTGGCTGTAGAAAAAAATGAACAAAAAAACAGTTTTTTTTTTAAAGTAGGCTTTTAGGACTTTAAAAGTTTCTAAAGCCTAAAAAAAGTGATTGGCAAATTTTTGGCTTTAGTGGCTTTACACAACCACAAAACCCTCAAAGCCCATACACCAATCGAACCCTCATCAATTGAGTATTTCAACAATGATCTCAAATCCAACTTAATATATATGTTCTTTCGAACAGAGACTTTATGATTTCAAACAAGTTTTCTATTAATTCTATTAATTTATCCTTTGCCACTCTATATTTTATCATGTTGTAGTGTTCTTGGTTTATCATCAAACCGTCGAATGCACTTCCGCTTGTAATTTTTCATGTCTACTGAACCTTTAATTTATTATAATTTTTAGTAATTGTCCGGTTAATCCTGAAATGGGTAAGACCATGGCAAAATGATCCAATCCGGTTAATTTTTACGCTGGTAGCGTAATGAGTGTAGAGATCGACCGAATTAAAAAATTATCCACGTAATAACTAAATCCGCTTAATAACTAATTTATATATATATATTAGGATCAGCACGCCATACGGGCGGGATATACTTTATTTATGATATATATTTTTATTTTTGGTATGATTTTGTATTTTAGGTTTGCATTTATAAGATGTATCAAAATAAGAGATTATATATGATAAGATATATTTTATTTTTTTTACAATAGTTGTTCCCATATTAAAATTTGTTGCCTTGATATAGTTTTCATGTTGTTTTCTTTTAAATATAGTTTATCCCATATCATGTGCGTTTTTTTTTGCGGTTTGTAATATTTTGAGTTCAGTAAGATTGCGTTGGAAATATTTTTTAATAAATTTTGTGTAAATAGTTTTGGGCTGTAAATATATGGTGTTAGATAATATCATTTTGCGATTCACGCAGGGTTTTAATGAAATATTTCGACTGATATTTATTTTAAATTCAAAAGGTTAGTTATATTTTGTGAATCTTTATTTACGTGCGTTCTTTTTTATATATGTTAAGATACTTAGAATGAAAGACATTATAATTTACTAAATTGTATAATAATATAATATATTTTGGACAAATTTTTCTATCATTTTTTCTAGGTTGAACTAAATTTGTAGTCTAAGAGAAAAAAGCTTGTGACATTCATTTTTTCACTCGTATAAATTAAGAAACGTAGAAATATTAAAGTGTGAAATGACTTTTTTTTTTGTTTTTGTTCTAATTATTTTTATTTATTATCCATTGAAATTATTTATTTTAGGCACTATATATTAAATATGTTTACTAACTGGTTATTTTTTGATAAACAAAAAGGTTAATGTCATAATTTGGTTTGATTAAAATAAAGTGTTAATTAAAATGATTTAGGAGTTATTAAATATTTTGTTAATTGATTTAGTTTAAATAATATGAAGATGAAATGTTAAGACCATTTACTCATACTTATAAAATTATGACATAAGTGTTAAGTTTCTTAAAAACTTCTTGATGAGGTGTCAAAAGAAAAAAAACTATACTTTATATAAAACACATTGACTAATATTTGGGTGTGGGTTCAAATAATTATATATCAACGCATGTCATATTGAAGAAGAGATTAAAACAAATGTATCGTGAAAAGTAAAAGCCGCTAAATATTTTATTAGGGTTGGGCTATATATATAACAAAGCAGCATACATAAACACGAAGGCCATATAAGACTAATTAATGAAATTTCTATATTCGGTTGTTAATAAACATCATTAAACTCAGTATTAGGATACATGTCACTCTATCATTTCACTAATTAGTGATATGACAGCACAAAAATAAGGGAAACCCTTCTTTATAGTAATAGATAAATATATATATTTTTAAAAAATAATAATAATAATTTTAGTTGTATTAAAAACACGGTTTAGTTTTACTTTTTGATAATTACACAGCTTTAGTATCAACTTTTTAATTAACTTTATACAAGTTAATTTAATATACATTATACGAATATAGATATATATATATATATATATAAATCTATCTAAGATTATAATTCTAAAAATATATACATATACAAAATATATATGTATATATTTTAAAAAAGAATTCAAAATAAACAAAATTGTTTAATTTATCTTAACTTTATGTTCAATTAAATAAAAATTATTTTAAAAAAATTGTAAGAAAATAGAAATTTTAAAATAATAATAAATGTATTTTTTAAATCGAACTTAAATTTAATTTTTTTTTGTTACAAAACACCTAGTTTCCCTTATATTTTAGGTTTTCAATGTTATTTTAAAAAGTATGAGCTAATTATCAGAATAAATAAAGGTTAGAGGACTTAAATCACAATATTAAACGAGTTTTGGAAGAGGCATACCGAAGGAAGGGTTTTATAGTTGTTTGAGATTTTCTCCTCCTCCGCCTCCTTTCCGGCGACGGTAGCTTTCCCCTTTACGTCTTTAACCAGATTCATTCCTTCTTTGCCGGCCTAGAGTTATCGTTGGTTAGTCCTTCTCCCCCATGAATTGCTCTCTCTCTATCTCTTTGTCCCCAGAATCTGGAGTTTCGAGTTTTATTGTTTGGCTACATCTTCGGACCAAACAAGCTTCCGACAAGTCCATAGTGCCTGTTTGTGTTTTGCACATTTCTCTCAGTTAAGAGTCTTTATATCTTAGGATAAAAATATTAGATTTGACATCTTTTAGACCAAACAAGTTTGATTTTTTTTTTTTTCTGGAACAAAGCAATTCCATCGAGTTTGTTATGTGTTTTGTGCTGTTTCCGACAAAACATTTCCGGAAAAAGATTAAATTTGTAGATGGGTTGATTGATAACACATGTTTGTTACTGATTTTGATTTATGTTTTCTGTATTCAATTACGTTTTCTCAATTAATGTTAAAACGAAAGTAACAGTCTTATGTTACGTATTATTGACATTCTCATTGATTATGATAGATTACATGATCATTTGTTTTCACATTGTGTGTATTTGTGTTGGTATTATCAACTCAAAGTTTGAGACTTTTGTTTTGAGTATCGAGTCACACACTGTTTGTTACTTTCACTGTTTCTTGGTATGAATGTACATAAGTGATACACAATCCTACAGATCTATTGTGCAGCCTTATTTCTAGAGCTTCAACAGTTGCCTATAGTGTCTTTGTGTTGGCTTTTTTTAGTTTGTGTAAGGCTTCCAAGAGATGGATTGTGAGGGAGACGTTGGGAAGGAATCTCTCGTTCTTATAAAACAAGGAGCTGAAGCTGTAAGTTTTATAATGTGAATGTTTTCTCTTTTTTTTTTTTTGTTTCTTGACAAGATTAAGTCTTTACTTGTTTTCTTTTCAGAGGGTGTTTGAGTCTACATTTGTGGGAAGAAAGTCTATCGTGAAAGAGCGATTCTCGAAGAAATATAGACACCCGATTCTGGATGTGAAACTCACACAAAAACGATTGAATGCTGTTTGTTTCTTTCTTCTTCATTACCTTTTCCTCTTGTAGAGAAAAGTAGAAGTTAATCAAGTGCTCATCTTATATTAGGAGGCTAGGTGTATGACGAAAGCAAGAAAGCTCGGAGTTTGTACTCCAGTCCTCTACGCAGTGGATCCTCTGCTTCATTCCTTGACACTTGAGTACATCGAGGGCATCTCTGTTAAAGACGTTTTTCTAGATTTTGGTGCCAATGGGGTTGTTGAAGAACGGTTGGATGATATCGCTGTTCAGATTGGTGAGGCCATCGCTAAGCTCCATGATGGTGGCTTGTCTCACGGTGACTTGACCACTTCAAACATGTTAGTCAGAAGCGGAACAAATCAGCTTGTAAGTGTTCTTAAAAGAGTTTCTGATATGTTCAATTCAATTAGTTACTTTACAGTTCATGTCTTCTCTCAGGTATTAATTGATTTTGGCTTAAGTTTCACGTCGACCTTGCCTGAAGACAAAGCTGTTGATTTATATGTACTTGAAAGAGCCTTACTCTCAATGCATTCTTCATGCGGAAATGTGGTAAGAGTGATGCAGACCATAACTATTTGCTTGGTCGGTTTGTTGTTGTTGTCTCAAAATGGCGTATGATGTTGTGAAAATGTAGATGGATCGTATACTGACAGCATATAGGAAGTCCTCAAAGCAATGGTCAGCCACGTTCAACAAGCTCGCTCAAGGTTCTACCCTCTTCCACGTCCTTTCTAAAAACCAACTCTGTTTTCAGATCTTTAAAAATATGTTTTTTTCTTTTGGTTGTGCAGTGAGGCAACGAGGAAGAAAGCGTACTATGATTGGATGAGCCAATATCTCCAGTAACTTGTGGCTATAAAGCTACCCTAAACTTGCTATTTGGTCGAATAGAGGTAGGAAGATTATGCCTTTGACATGTTTAGCATATGTACACTACCTCTGTTTTAGATTTTTATTACAATCCAAATAGACTATCATTGTTGTTTCTTAGCTACTGTGTTAAAAGAGCACATTGTTGAACTCATTACATCATTAACGGTTAAGAAGTTGCTATATTTGATTGATTATCTCAACAAACATGTCAAATTTAGAATGTTACAACAACATTATATTCACAAACGTTACAAAAGTTTTCTGTTTGAGAAAATAACGACATTGTTATATAACCGATCACTTTTTATATATATCAGAAAGAGAAGAAAAAGAAAACAAGAAATAATTTTCAAAAGGAGTAATATGGATAACAAGTTGTTTCTTGGAACCCTAATATGTCTAAGCCTTGTGATACACGCCACCAGCATCAACGACGACGACAACCCTTTGATAAACCATTACGCTGATTACGAATCAATCCATCCCAGTGAGTATTACAGCTCAGATTTCGAACTCAAAGACGGAACCAATGTGATCTTCGAAGCTATCAACGAACTAAAAGGTATGAAGAAACCAAAAGCAGGGTTTGAGTGCAGCATTGGCAGAAAACATTGGACTAGGTCTCTCCCTGGAGACATGTTCTACGCAAAGTTCTTCTTTTACAGGATTAACCCTAACGCAAAGGTGGTTAACCGGTGTCATTTCCGGTCTAATTTGGGTTATGTTAATATCAATATCGAGATAACACCGGCGCTTGGAAGAAAGTGTCCTGGATACAGATGCGTTTTAGCGATTAGACGTGAAGGTCTTTTGATGAAAGATACTAATGAGCTTTATCCTTGGACTCCTTGGCCTCATCGTCATATTCAACCTAAGTTGCCTAAGATGATCACTAATTAAATGGTTATTGGATGTGTGTTTTAGTGTGTGCATGCATATGTATTTTTTTCCGTTCTCCCCTGGAAGAAATATTTAGTTAAAAAGGTCGGAAACTGAAAAAAATGTCTAGAGCTTTTGGTATCGTCTCCAAATTTCGATTTCAACATCTTGTTTTTGATATCTAGCGGCGCAAACATCTACAAAAAGCACTTTTGAGAACGTGATAGAAGCAACTATATTAATTGAGCAGGCTCTAAGATAAATAGCATGGAGATAAAACAGGTCCTAGATTTTTCAAGACCACAAACCCAAAACAAAAAAATGACTGAAATTTCTTTAAAAAAAATTATGCACATGATGTGATTCAAACCTAACATCTCGCATAGTCACAACAAACGACAAACCACTAGAACACTGACAGTTTTGGTAATTGTATGGCCGGTTATATACTTAATCAATTGGCCGCTGCAAGCCTATGTTTCATTCGCATCTGCTAAGTGCTGGTTCTGCGTGGAGAAAGTGTAATTCCCTGAGCAATTTTTTTACTACTCTTTTTGTCCTTTTTGTATGGGGAGGAGGTTCAACAGGTGGTCTTAATTAATTATGATTAAGCATAGTACTCGCTAAGGAAAAAACGAACGTAAAATTTATTACTAAATCATAAATAAAGACAAAAAGATAAGAAAGTAAACTACAAAATTTATATAGAGAATTTTCTATAATCGTATAAAGAAACAATAGGACTAAACATTGTTGAATCATGTGGTTACACTAGAATGGGTCGACGATCTAATTCCCTACGAAAAATATCGTATAGCACCGAATGTCCACGGAACTATGACCCCGTTCTATTTACCTCCGAGAATAAAGTTTAAAACCTATTTCCCCGCCAAATGGAAGCTATATTGATATTTCCTCGTAGTTATAAAGATCAAAATCTAAAAACCCACAAAATCATTTTTTATTGGTTTACTGTTTGTAAGCAAACCATAAACCATATTAAGTCAATGAGTAATCAGATTTAGATTCAATCAATCGGATCTTAACAAGTTTGAATGTTGGGTCGGATTACTGTTCTGATCCATTGGTCGGGTTTTTTTTTCTTGGTTTAGTTTTGCTCATTTTATTATATGAAAGTGGAGATTTGAAATTCGATTTTCAGAAATCATAACTAAACCAAATTTGATGGGAAAATATGTTTCGAACTTTATTCTGGGGGGGGGGGTAAATAGAATGAGGTCATACTTCCGTGGACATTTGGTGCTATACGATACTTCTCGTGGGGAAATAGATCGTCGACCCCACCAGAAGGGATAATGTTTGATGGTCGAGAATGAGTTTTGAGAAAAGGTATCCAAGGTTGATACCTCTTGAAGTATCTTGAAACTAAGTGGAAACCTTGGCCACGTAGGGATGTTCAAACGGGCCAGGCAAGCCAATTTACGTCCGAGCCCATTTATCTGATGTCTGTTTAGAGTCCATTTAAATCAAGTCTGTTTATGTGAAGTCTGTTTAATATTAAACCCGTTTTGATTCCGCAATTACTTTAAAAAAATTGAACATGATCTATTTGTATCATAAGTTAGTAACCTGATTCTTCAATCAAATCTTTCAAATAAAATACAACTCCATAGTCTTTATAAAGGTCACTCAAACTCTCTTTGAGTTTCTCGGTCTTCGATCTTGCACTAGAAGGATCCAATTCATTCTAGCAGCTTAAACCATCTCAGTCTTTATTCTTGGATCTAGAACTGCTCCCATTGCCAAGATTACACTATAATTCTTCCAGTATTTATCAAACTTAACTCGCATGTCTTTGGCCATTTCTCTCACCCCTTCATCATCACAAATGGAATATTTCTCCAGCAACACTTGTATATTCCATACTTGTGTGAATTAGATATTAGAAGTGGGATATTTTGAGCCTGAAAAGTCGATTTTGATAACTCTGAACGGCTTCAACAATCCACGGATCTTTTCTCCATGGTTTCACTCATCCTCTGATGGACACGTCTTAGGATCATACAACTCCAAGCTAGCAAATGCTTTCTTAAATTTGAGAGCTCTGACAAGCATCCCATATGTAGAGTTCCAGTGAGTAGGAACACCAAGTGACAATCCAGATCCACTTGTACTTCCTACTCTCTCTACACATGCTGCAAATGCATCTTTCATTTGTGGCGTTGCTTTCACATATCTGACGTTTTCTCGGATATTATGATAAGACTATTTTTCAACTCCAAGACATTTTTAACTATAAGGTTCAAAATGTGAGCACAACATCTCACATGTATGTGTTACCATCACACAACAAACCTCCATCGCTTCCACTTATCATCTGAAGCTTTCCCTTGAGAATTCTCAACATACCATTGTTTTTTGTGGCATTGTCTAAAGTCATCGAGAAAAACTTCTTCTATAAGCCCCATTCCTTCAAAGACTTAAATATCTTAGTAGCAATTAGATCACCGGTATGTGAAGACTTCATCTCACAGAATTCTAATTTTTTACTGTTCAATCTCCAACTATCATAAATAATGAACAGTTAAGCAGATATATGACATGTTTTGAGGACGAGATACCCATAAATCAGCGGTGAGACAAACCCTGCCACGGTGCTTCGCAAACAGCTTCTTCAACTTCTCTTTCTCTATTTCATATCTCCTATACACATCAAGAGCTGCAGTCTGCCTACAGATAGGTTGACAATCAAGATTTAAATACTTATCTCTTGCTCTAACCTTCTCATACTCCACATACCGAAATGATAGATCATGGTAATGATAGCCTCAGTAACCATCTCATGATCTATTATATGATCATGCACATGCTTATATTACTTCTTAAGCACCTTAGAACAACACTCTAAATGTCGCTTCAAATGATTTGTACCATGAGTTTTACTATTAACCACTAGTTTTGAATCACAATGAATACACTTAGCCTTTTACTTTCCATCCTCATCTATCCCCACTAATACAAAATCTTTCCAAATATGTGAGGTTTTTCGACGCTTATGCTGAGATGTCATTGCTGTGTGGTCGCTTGTGTTGATGCATGAGCTTGTGTTTCACTTTGAACTTCCGATTCTGTTTCTGTCAATTCCTCATCTATATCAAATTCAACATCTTCATCATCATTCATGCCCATGTATTCACGTTGAGCATCAAGAATCAGTATTGTTTGCTCAGTTTCAAAGTCCATCTCTACAAAAAAAACAAAAAACAAAACCATAAGAACCAGATCATAAAAAGCTTACAATCAATTCATATAGACCCCATTAGAAATAAAGTAAGTATAATAATAGAACTGAACGTGATTCAACACATCGTCATTAATAAACAATTAAAAACAAGAAACCATCGTCATGAAATAGCTTTTTTAAGGGTAAGGACATTCTTTGCTGATAACTGAACGCTGATTTAAGGGTCAATACCAAAAAGAGCTGCATATTTGATACCTTACTTTAAAATAGTAATCCTGAGAAGAACAATTTGTAAGGCGGGTAACCATTAAAAACAAAATAGCATTGAATATCAGCACCCTAATTCTTAACAACTGAAAAAAAACTACCATTATGTGTGTACTAAGTATTAAATATCAGCCTGCAAAAGGCAAGGACTAATAACTTAACTTAAGTCGGCAGATACCCAGAAACAATTAATAATATGATGTGGAACACATGAGATGCAACAGAGAAATACAAGGAGCATTAGGTTTGAAGGAGATAACAACTAAGTTGAATAATACATATATAAACATCAAACCAAAATTTCTCACAAAAATAATCAAAAATGCAACGATTTCATTATATACATAGTGAACAAGGAACACGATACATGGGAAACAAACAAGGTTAAGCTGATAACGAATACAACATATTTAGCTAAATTACAACAACCAAAGATTGTAAAGCTATGAAGAAGTTACCATACTAATCAAACAAAGGTATTCAAAGCTATTTTACTCTCCTCTCTTACTTTCGACACATCTCAGATCCATAACAAGTATTACACATATACAACAATTAAACATATAAAATAAAATGAAATTATTATATAGACCCATAACCCATTAAAAGGAAAGATCCAGCAACCCTCCTCAGCTATTTATGCTACAATTAGCTAGATAATAGATGTTATTTTACACCAAAATTGTGTATCATTTAGACTAGAATCTGAAACAATTTAGGATAATTGAGAAGATGGGTCAGTGACATTACCTGAAGTTATGCTGGAGTGAACTCTAACGCAGGAGATAAACAATGACAATGGAAGTTATGCTGGCGAGAAGAAGAGACAGAAGGAGATCAGGTTCCCTGAATCAACAAAGAGATTTATACGCCATTAGAGATCCATCAAGAATTGAAACAAAAACAGAGAAGGACATGATCTTACTGGGCAACAATTACGACAAGGAGTGATGAGATGAAGAACTCTTTTTTTCCGCTTAGATCTGCAAGATTTAGGACATTAGGTTATAACAGGTTACTAATAAAATGTCAGCGTTCTTTACATATGAAAAAAATATAAACGGGTTAAAGGCGGCCCGTTTAATTTTGTATAAACCCGTTTACTAAACGGACATAAATGGACAAATCCGACCAAGCCCGTTTAACTTTGTTATATAAACATGTCTTAAACGGACAATAATATTACAGAAAGCTTGTTTATGCCCAATTACGGAAAGCCCATTTTAACATTTCTAGTTGCAACATGCACAATCAGTCACGAACCTACACAAGTGATAGAAGGGGCAGGTGCTACCACAAAAAAAAAAAACCCAAAAAAAAAATTATTAAGATTTTTTCTCGTTAAAAAAAATTACAACCATGATTTTGTGTTTACTCCCACAGGCCACAATCCATTCAGTTATGTTAGTCAAGACCCATTTCAGAAATATCTTTATTTTTTACTAAATTGACATAATTATACTAATTACTAAAGTTACTAACTAATTTCCAAAATTAAAAACTCTAATCAAGTTTATTTTTCGTGTGTTCGTCGTTATCTTCCAAGTTC